ATTTTGTTGTTGTTGTTGTTGTTTATTGTCATTCTCTATTAGGAAAGAAGCTGAACCAGAGCAAGGAGGTTGTCATCAAATCTGGGCTTTGTTTTCACAACATTTAGGCCTTCTTTCTCCTACTTGTTTTGTTTGAGGTGAGATAAGGGAAAGCATTTAAGAACTGAGCTCTTGGCTTTTCTTTTTTCTGTCTTTTTTTTAAAGAATATAACTGAGAATTCATTGTCTCATTCACAGTCTCATTGGTACCATTAGTATAACCCAAAACATACATGGATAGTATGTCAAAAGTACATTAAGCAACTCCAAGAGTAACTATATAACCAGGTGTGTTGTCATTGCTTGGAAGCCTCCAGAGAGTCCAAATGTGTGATTCAGAAGAAAGAATTAATTTGCTCTCAAGAATAGGCTTTTATGCATGGTGTGTTTCCAACTTCTAGAACATTGCCTGAATGGCTGACCTACTGACTCCCCCTTCCACTGGCAAGCCATGCATTTAGCAGACTGCCCACCAACCAGGCAATTGAGTTGTTGTGGCCTGGCCATCCTGTCAGGGCCCTCTCAGCATGGAGAGGAGCACTGTGATCAGCAGACTTACAACACAAGGCTTGGTTCATTCAGACCCCTCTGTTGGCAGGGTAGCAAACTGCTCTTTTGTGGGAGTTGGGGAGTCACAATTGGTTTTCTGTTCCTTGACAGACACAATAAAGAGGCAGGGTGGCCTCTTTCCCCCTGTCCAGGACAAGGATTCAGGATCCTTGCCTTCTGCCTTCAGCTGCCTCACTAAGGGACTTTCCCCAGCCAGCTTGCCAAGTCCCTATGACTCAGCACCTTCCTTTGTGAATTGGGGATGGTCTGATTTATTCAAGAGCTGTGAGGCATGCTTGACAAGGCCTTTGAAAATGCAGCTTGTGTAGAAAGGATGGCCATCTTCTATGGTTTGGAAACTGGCATAGAGGTTGGGTAATTTCCCTTTCTTGTGTGGGGAGGTCTGTGGTTTTCTGTGCAGAAAGTAGGGCTGGCTTGGTGTAACATTCCCCTGATCCCTCCCATTTCCTCTTGGAATCCATGCCCTGTGATAGGAGCCCTCCTTAGCTGTTGGAACCCATCTGCTTACCATGCTAGGCTGCTGCTTCTCTTAGTTTTCAGAAAAAGTTGCTTCTAACACTAATATTTAAAACAATGTTTTAGACAGAAACAGTAAGTGAAACACCCTTGAACATAACTGAGGAAGTAAAAGTGAAAATAACTGAGTTATCACAAAGGCCAATGCTAATGGGCTAAAAGGACACACAACCATTGCTTGTTTGATAGCTGGCTTATAATTGTGTTAGTCTTTCTGGCAGGAGCTGCCACAATAGAACTAAAGTTACATATTTACTCTGATGAATATACTTGATAAGGAAAGATTGTCTATAATAGTAAGACAGTCACCCAACTAAGGACTTGTAATGCTCAAGTAAACTCTGTTTTCTCATTAATATGGGACTCTGTCTACTGTGGATTCTCAGCCCCAAAGCAGAATGGAGGCTTTAGTTAAATACATTTGTGACAAGCTCATGTCACAAGTAGGAAATTGTCACCTTCCTGAGGTACGCTGGAGCCAAAAGACAAATCAAATTACTAATATACAATTATTGAAATATTATGCTTAAGTGCATGGAAAGAGATATTCATGTTGCATATGATATGATATTTATTGAGCATATTTTGTACATAGTAAAAACTTTATAAAAGCTATTTAGATGTCCTAAAACGTGCCTGTAGTGATGCACAATGATATTTGTGATCATATTAAAACACATAGGTTTTATAATAAAATTTACAGTGAAAAAGGAAACAAAACCAGCCATAACAGTGTCCCAGTATAGCATGTTGCTCTCTTTTCTTCCCATCAGTAGGTACAGCAACCTGCATGTAGTAAGTATTGAGTGGTCATCAGTTGGTGGTGGTTGAATCATAACCAAGTACATTAGGAACAGGTTTTCTGCCAATGAATATATGCAAATATAATAACTAGATAATACACCCTCATTTCTGTCATTGGCTTTCCCACTTGATGGCCTGATCCAGGTTAGGCTCATGTATATCTAGAGGTTTCTTAATGGAACACATTTTTTCAGGAACTAAAAACAACATATCTGGAAGGAGGGGACTGGAAGGTTTTGGTGAGAGAGAGTCTTTTATTTGGCATTATTATTATACAGTGTGGACACTTGGATAGACCTTTCTCTGTGGAGGTCTTGTCCTGGCAAAAGAGTAATGAAGGTTGAATGGTTTCTTCTGATCACAATCTGTTTTGTGATATTGGGAACAGGGAGCCACACAGGAGTTGGTATAATAATTGAAATAGACTTCTAAATGGTGATGGTTGTCTCCAAATTATGCTAAGATTTTCTTGAATGGAATGTAGTTTCTTCTGGAGGCAGGAAACATGGAGGCTACAAAAAGGTGTTTTCTTCAATACTCTAAGAGGACACCAATGTCATGGGGCTGGAGGAGGAGTGGATCCTGGAGTCAACATATTTGAGGATTGAAGTTCCTCTGTCCTAACTCTTCTGGTTCTAGTGATGGGGGGTGGTATTTTCTTGGGGGACAATGCAACTGTGTGTGCATGCATGCCTATATGCTGAAGGAACAGGGTATCTAACTACATCAGTATTGGGATCTACATCACAAAATATAATGTAAACATAGCTGAGTGTAATATAAAGAATTTCCACTTTATGGAAATCTGAAGGCCATCATTGTTCATCAGCAGAGCTCAAGTTGCCGCCTAGGCTCATTGGACAACTCAAGTATAAAGCTTACATGTGTTTTGCATTTTATGGAGAAGATACAATCCATGGGAAGCATGAGTGTGGAGATTTAAAAATAGGAGGGAAAGAAAGAGGGACAGATGATATAAAGGGCTTTGTTATGGAGAGGATCAGAACCTCACCCTAAGCACAGCTGAGTATTCAGTCATGATGATGAGTTACTGAACCTCCTGGCAAGCTCACTCAGCAACTGCAGCCCTTGACTTCACTGGTTTTCCTGGGAAACAGTTGGGTCCATCAAGTCAGGATGTGGGATTCTCCCTGTTGTAGAATAAGAGTTTGTAGATCTACGGTTGTGTTGACAGTGCCAGTAGCTCCATCATCAGCAGAGGTCTCAGTCTTTCACCTTCATCTTGAGCTATTGCTAGGGCTTCTAAGATTAAGAGGTGCAGTATGGGAGAAACATCTAAAGACTAAGAGGGTAAAGGTGGACTAAACAAACATTGTACTCTTAGCCTAGCACCTCTGGCTTTTTATGAAGCCAGTAAAAACAGAAAGCTTTTAGGTATGACTCTCTAGTGTCTTTGGGAGGGAGGGAATGGAACATCTACCACAAATTAACAAGGACTGGGCTAAGCTGACAAACCCCTGATTTTTAGCAATATTAAATAACTTCTACTACCATAACAGCAGAGAAGATGGCTCTTCCAGTGTAGATGCTAAGGCTGACTGCATATTTTTTTCTAAGAAATACCTACAGTCCCTGCATGAACAACATTCATGTGGACTGGGACTTGGAAAAAAAAAGGAGAATGTCACTTATTATCAAATCATTCAATTAGGATAACTAAAGAAGTGGCCTAATTTTGGTAGCCCAACTTAGGGAAGAGGAACTAATATCTATAATCCAAGATCTATAATCATGAAACTTTTAGTCTGAATGAATTATTTTGAAAAAGTAAAAGAGGGAACCCAGAAGGTAAAAGAATAAAAGAAAGAGGACTTAGCATTTAAAGGTTCTTTAGAAGTGATTTCATTTGGGGTGAATGAGGAGACGCAATGTTGTAACATAGTAGGGTTGAGGCATCTGCATTCCCAGTATTCTGCTTTTAGCAGCAGTTATAACAGTCAAGAATGTCATACCCTTGGGGGAGTGAATAATAATTGGTTGTTGTAAAGTCTAAGCTGTGAAGTATTGTGTTATGTGAGCAGGAATCTTCTCTCGATCACGGACAAATACTACAAACAGAATTGAGTTTCAAATGATCTTTGGTTTAGACACAGACTAGTGCGTTTATCTTCATGTTATGTATTTTTCAAGGTTGAGGTTAGGTTCAATCAATGAATTTTCCATTTAGAGCATCTGGTATTTCACCCATGAATGCTGTCAACTACATATAAGGCTGCAAGATTAAAATCTTATAATGGTAAATGCCTTTTGTCTGCTGGGTTTGTAATGCCACCAGAGTATCTCATTCATAATCTGTTTAAGTGGCTGCTTATGTTGGTGAAGTCATAGCTATGGCTATTTGACAAGGTGCTAGAATTAAATCAGAAAATGAATTATTGATTGAAGTGTGTATTGATCAAGAACCAATCAATAAAGAACACGGAAGGTTTTTGTGTATATGAAAGGAATTCAGTGTTACTTAGAGATGAAAGAGCAGGTGTCTGAATTTGAGTTTTTGCTTTGCTACTCTCAGACACCACTGCTGTTTATTTCTGTTGGCTCCTGTAGAATCTGTCACACACTGTATCTTGAGGAGGCTATTGTCTTACATATTCACTTTTTTTTCACCCAGATTTTAATCTGATTTAGGTCAATGCCTTTTTGTTCCATCCCCCATGAGGTCTTGGATTTAATAATTCATGTCTTGATTGCACAAGTAATGAAATTGCTGGTAAATTACTCAGCATTAGCTAAGGGTATACTTTAATCACCTCACAACTCCAAAGCTTTAGAGAAGGATTCTGACACCTTGTCTTGTATCACATTTCAATACAGGTTATTAGAAATTACTTCCAATCAGAAAACTTTTAAAATGTCATGTTTGAGGAGCTAACTGGAAGTACCATTGTCAAATGACTTCCCAGTGACTCCAAAGACTTGTCACTGGTTTGTCTGTTCATGGATCCTATTGAATATGTCAGCGGATGTCAGATCTATGAGAAAATCATGACAACTATCATACCTGTGTTCCTTAAGTACACTCCTTTATTTGCTTGACAAACATTGGTTTATGTGGTACTCTAATAGGAGCATGGCTGAGCTCTCATGGGTGCATCCAGCTAGTACATGGGATTCTTCTGGTTGTAGAACAGGAGTTTGTTGGTCTGTGGTGGTGGTGTCAATGTCAGTAGCTCCATTAGCAACTTTTCAACTGTGGGTCCCTCTTGAGCCACTGCTAGAGCTTCTTAGGCTAGGAGGGACAGTATGAGGGAAGCATCTAAAGACTAAGGGGGTAAAGGTGGCCTAAGCATTGTATTCTTAATCTAGCACATGTATGGTTCACTACAGCCCCTCTCCCTTCTCATGAAGCCAATAAGAAGCATGACAAGCTATAGGATGTCCAGTGTTATTGGGAGGAATGACTTTCCCTCATGGGCACATTCCTGGGAGCATGAATTATCCTGTGAGGGACCTGACAGGAAGATACAGAGATGCTTTGGGGAGGAAAACTAGACATCTGAGTACTCATGGCACCAGCTTCAGCTTGAGAGGTTCTGCTCTCATTTTGATCATTCAGCACCCAAGGTTGTTTTACATATCAATCACAGTTCCTGCTCCCTCCCCTCCTCCCCTGTCCCCCACCCACTCCCTATCCCATCTCCTTTCTGCTCCCCAGGGAGGGTGAGGCCTTCCATGGGGGATCTTCAAAGTCTGTCACATCATCTGGAGCAGGACCTAGGCCATCCCCTGTCTGTCTAGGCTGAGAGAGTATCCCTCTATGTGGAGTGGGCTCCCAAGTCCATTCGTGTACTAGGAAATACTGATCCAAGATCAAATTTACAGGAATTGCTCGTGCTGGTGACTGTCCAGAGAAGTGAAAGGAAACGAGATACAGACACGCTCTTGAGCCTCAGAGACAGCTCTGTGCAGTTCAAGCGTCACTGGAGCAGCCATCTTGATTAGTTCTGCTGTGTGTGCCCATCAGTCACCAGATATTCAGCTGAGCCTTGAAGGTGGTGGTGTGTGAACCCAAGTGAGACAAATACCACTGGCCATTGTCTCAGCTCATTGTGAGCAAGAAAATAAAGTAGGTGGAGGGTTTCATTTTCAATAACAGGCACACACTGTAGTTTTGTTTGTCCCTTGGGTAGTCACACTCTTTGTTGTTGTTGTTGTTACTTCTAAGTACTGCATCCAAATGTCATGTGTTTACTTTCATGACTCCTGAGTAGTGGTACCAGGATATTTGACCACACGACACTGATTTTCTTCGAGTCTCTCTCCCTTTACCTCTGTATGTGCATGTATGTATATGTAATGCAGATAAATGTGTGCATGTGTGCATGTGCTTATGGAGGTCCTAGATGGATATTTTCCTCAGTTACTCTCTATTTTCTTTTTTAAATTGAAAATCTTTTTTTCATGCAGTATATACTGATTATGGTTTCCCCTCCCTCAATCCCTCCAAAATCATCCTCACTTCCCCACCCATCCAAATCCACACCCTTTCCTTATCTCTCTAGCTAGAATACAAATAGACATGTAATAAATAAAAACAAACAAAGCAGATAAGATAAAACAAACAAACAAATGGAGTAACAGAAAACAAATGAGCCAAAAAAAAAAAAGAAAGAAAAAGAAACACAGGTGCTGAGAGACACATATAAAAGCAAAATCAGAAACCATACTATGATATATAAATTAAATAGCAAAAAAAGAGCCCAGACAAAGTATTGTGAGATAAAACGCTTCTCAAATTCATTTTATTTTCCTAGATAAAGTCTCTCACTGAAAACAGAGCCTCACTAACTCATCTAACATGTTTGCCCTGTCAGCTGCAGGGAGATTCCTGTCTCTGTACCTCTAGCACCAAGATTAGAACAACCCACTACCGAGCTGGCATTTAAATGGGTGTTTAAAACTCCTGTCTTCATTCTTGCAAAACAAGTACTCTACCAAGCAGGCCAACTCTCCAGTCCTTTTTCTTGAACTGTGAACCTCTCACTCTTACCCAGGGTGTCCTAATGAATGGAGGCTATTGCATACCACACCCTGAATCGTTTGCTGGGTGTGAGCAATGATCTCTAGGAGAACTGCATAGTCCTATCATGGATGAATCAATGAGAGAAAAGTGTGCCCTTGCACTGTTTCCAGGAGTACTCAGGCCATCAGCTTTCACATCAGTCTTGTTTCCTGCTTCCCTCAAGAGGAACCTGCCCATGCAGGCTGTCTTTTAATGTCTACAGCCTCCCCTGCAGTTCTACCTCACACAGACTAGGAAGAATATGAAAAGTCAGACCATAACTAGGTCATAGAACAGATGCTACTCATCATATCATTACCATGGGAAATGAACTACAGTATGGCTTACAAAAGGAGCAAGACTTATCCACATTTGGATCCCTTGCTCTCATTAGTGAAGAGCTTTTAAAGAGAGATCTAGCAGGAGGATGAAGTACCTGCCTTCTTTTGCAAATGGGCTCACTCGGGCCTAGACTTTATCTGGCATGGGGAGTCAGTCTTGCTTTCTTACACCAAAGACAATTTAACAGCAGCTAGTAGAAAATAGCCTTGGTACCCAGGGCCCACTGCCATTTCTTATTACTGTCAGGACATCTTAAATTGCCCAAGGGTGCTTTTTTATTGTTGTTAAAGGTTTAATTATGGCAGTGCTCTCCTATGGGAGAGAACTAATTAACCTTCTGTCAAGAAATCAACTCTGATATATTGCACGTGACATTAATGGCTCTGGGTACTTGGGGGCAAGTTTTAAAGGTGCTTTTGGTTTTATTATCATGGTTGACATCTTGAGAGGAAACAGGTGGGGTTTTTTTTTTTGCTTTTTTTTTTCTTTTTAAAGTAAATATATGTAACTGAGGTGGATATGGTTGTGCTGCTGCTGTGACCTCTAGTGATCTAAAGGGATGACACCAATTGGCAAGCTAAGCAATAGTGTAGAGACCACCTCAAATGCCCATTCCTGATAATGAACTTGATGTCTATAACCATCCTGGAGCTTTCATCCAGTGACTGATGGAAGCAGAGGCAAACACCCACACTTAAACACCGAACTGAACCCAAGGAGCCCAGTGACAGAGAGAGAGGAGCGATGAGCAAATTGGCAAAGAATGGGCTGGCAAAGCCAGCAGAGACAGCTGATCTAAACAGGGGAGAGCTCTTGGACCCCAGACCGACAGCTGGGAGGCCAGCATGGGACCGATCCAGACCCCCCAAATGTGAGAGTCAATGAGGAGGCCTGGGCAACCTATGGGGTCCTGAGCAGTGGATCAGTGTTTATCCCTCGAATACTAACAGACATCGTGTGTCTATAACACAAAGAGGGATGCTCTCTCAGCCTGGACTCTTAGGGGAGTGCCTGGACCCTACCCTGAGTGAAATGACAGACTCTAGCTATCCCCTATGTGGAAGGAATTGGCAATAGGGTGGAAGTATGGGGGGGATGGCAGGGGGTGCAGGAGGAGGGAAGGGAGAGGGAACTGGGATTGACATGTAAAACAAGCTATTTAAAATTAAAATAATAAAAAATAATTATAAATAAAATGAAAATAAATAGAGGGTAATTTGGTAGTTTAAAGAAAGAGCTTCTTAGTGCTTCTTACCACCTGAGGCATATGGACAGGAGATGCTGAAGTGAGGAAGGGAAGAGGGAAAGGGAAATAGCATAGCGTTTAGGAACTTGCAGCCATATGCTCTATACTTTTCTCGGTCAGCTTGCAAGATAGGGTTTATCCTCTTGGTTGCATACATTTTTCTGATTCTGAGGATAGGAGTGTAGACCAGAGAACCAGTGACCATGCAGAGATCCCATGATTTCAAAGCTCAGGCTTCCCCAAGAATAGGCAACAGTTGTACAAATGGCTCATGTCTTACTGGGCACAAGTCTATTTTGCCGCTTACTGTGGACAACTGTCCACCTTGTGGGTTGCATGTAGCAAATATCTAGGTATTCAGCCAATGACCTAAACTTTAGGTTTTTCCTAAGCTACATTAATTCCATTTTATATCTCAAATCTTGTTCTGTGTAAGTCCTACCTCCTATTCTTACATATTGATGCAAGTTGTCTTAACTGCTTTCTGGTAAAGAATAAGTATATAAATTAATGAAGTTGTTTTTCACAGTGACCCTACAGTGACATGTAACCACTCTCCTTCTTTTGTATTGGAAAACTTACTTGCCTGGGTCATCCATCCGTGAGTAGAGGCACTGGGGCATCAATCTGGCCTTCATCCCATCCTTGCGCTATACCATGCAGCTGTAGAGCTAGTACAGTGATACCTGTGCTGGGGGAGAAGAGCAGCTGACTCTCTGGAGGGGGAGGAGGAGGAGGAGGAGGAGGGGGAGGAGGAGGAGGAGGAAGAGGAGGAGGAGGAGGAGATAAACAAAAAGAATTATTCTCACAAATGTGATGGCAAAGAGCTATGCTAGACACAGTCAGATCAGAACGTCACTCTGCAAAATCAAGCTCACTTATTTTTGATGGTTAGGTCTATTGATTACCACAACTGTAAAGATGGTTTGCATGCTTGATTTGGTGACTTCTTAACTGGACACTTGAGTCAGAATTACTATTTCCTGTTAAGCATTGTTACTAAATGGTAATATTTAAGACCTTCTGAATGTAAGATGTTGGCTATCCTTTTAAAGCATAGTGGAGCATAAAACTGAATGCATTTTATATGATTTCTCTCAATGTTAAACAATGCAGTAGACAAATAAGTGTTGTTTGTCACTTTGTTGCTTTTTGACAACATCAGAGTTTAGGGGTGTGTGTGTGTGTGTGTGTGTGTGTGTGTGTGTGTGTGTTGCTTTTTTCATTGCTTTGGCCATGTACCAGACAAAAGCAATTTATGAGGGAAGCATGTACTTTGGCTTGTGGTTTGAGAGGATACAGTAGTATATTATGATGAGAAAGACATTATGGCTTGATGGCATCATGAGCATGGACCTGGGGTAATTCACTCTCAGCCTACCAGGAAAAGAGGAAAGCCAGCTCTCATCTGATTTCCCCCTTTTTGTTCAGTTATGGTCTTTAGTCCATGGGATGAAGTTAGCCATATTCAAGATGGTTTTTCTCTCCTTAGTTACACTACTCTAGAAACTCCCTCAAGGACACTCAGAGGTATGTCTCCTAGGTGATTCCAAATCCAGCCAAGTTGAAGCAATGAAGGTCTCTCTGTCTCTCTCTCTGTCTCTCTGTCTGTGTCTGTCTCTCTGTCTGTGTCTCTCTGTCTGTGTCTGTCTCTCTGTCTGTGTCTCTCTGTCTGTGTCTGTCTCTCTGTCTGTCTGTCTGTCTCTCTGTCTGTGTCTGTCTCTCTGTCTCTCTGTCTGTGTCTGTCTCTCTGTCTGTGTCTCTCTGTCTGTGTCTGTCTCTCTGTCTCTTTGTCTGTCTGTCTGTCTGTCTGTCTGTCTGTCTCTCTCTCTCTCTCTCCCAATTTAATCTCACTGAAAAGCCAACCACACTTTTAGAGATGGCCAACCTCACTATCCCAGTGTGTAGGTGACAAAATGGAGGCAGAATGAAGAAAGGCATTTTCTTGAGAGTTATGTACTTGGTAAAAAACCTCTAAACACTGAGTGATTTGTGTGTGGGACCAGGTTTATTTTGAAGGTATTTTTTCAACAAATATCTGTATCATAAATCAAAATGGAATGTGTTAGTTATTTTTCGGTGGAAAAAATTCCAATCCAGTTTACTTGTTGCTTAAGGCCATAATTCTCCAGAATGGTGATGCAAAGCCAAACCGCTGGACAGTTGTCATGTTTGTCCTGTCCTAGGGGAACACAAAAAGCATCACTCATCTCACCTAAGAAAGTCACAGAGGCTTTTTTCTTCTTCTTCTTCTTTTTTTTTAGAATAGCTTTCTTGTCCTTGAGACTAGGCTAGTCAGATTTTTGTCAGTGTGATAAACACCTAAAATAGTAGATGGGAGGGTAAAGATACTCTCAAAATGCACAGCCTACTACAGTTTGCCTTGGTCGCATCTCACCACACACACACACACACACACACACACACACACACACACACACACACCACACACCACACACACACACACACACACACCACACACACACACCACACACACACACACCACACACACACACACACACACCACACACATACCACACACACACACACACACACGCACACACACACACACCACACACATACCACACACACATACACACAGGAGAGAGAGAGACATCAATGAACCACATCAACAAACAACATGGCATGATAACCCTGAGGGTGCAGTAGTGGTATGCATACTTTCATAGTAACCATCAACTCTCTAATTGGACTTAAGACTCACTCATCTAGAGGGAAGCCATGCGTAGCACCAGGAACCTAGCCAACTACTTTGTATTGGAGGAGAATCTACAACCACTATTTTACTAAACCAGCATAATCCTTAACAATAATCTACAAGCATCCATTGGGTATTGTTTCCATTTTGTGTAGTGGCTCTTCAGTCAAAACACTTATTAGTTGGTCACCCCAGCAAGCTTCATGCCACCAGTGCACTAGCAGAAAACCACTGTAGATCATTATAGAGCAAAGTGTTTGTGGATACACACACACACACACACACACATACACACAGACACACACACATGCACACACACATACACACACACAAGGTCTTTCTACTATATTAGGTTTCATACTACCTCCTAAGTTTCATAATTCCCCTTAATTGTAGCTGTATCACCCCATATTTTCTCCTTCAATGTTCCCACAAGAGTAGTGATAAAATGACTCCTAACGATTTTCTTCTATACTCATAGATCAGTGCCTTGTTCAGACATCACCAGAGACACTTCCTCCTGCAGTAGCTTCCTTCTGTATTGGGGACAAATACAGAGACTCTCGGCCAGATATTATACATATACCCCCCACCCCACCCCCAGAGAGAGAGAGAGAGAGAGAGAGAGAGAGAGAGAGAGAGAGAGAGACTTTGGAACACTCATCACTAAATGGGAGGTCTCCATCCAATCAGTCCCTTCAGAGCTCAGGGAGCCCAGCAGAAGGGGTGGGAGAAAGAGAGTAGGAGCCAGAGGGGATGGAGGACACCAGGAGAACAAGGCCCCTAAACCAGCATGAGCAAGGCTCACATGAACTCCCAGACGCTGAAGCAGCATGCACAGAGTCTGCACTAGGTTCTCCGAGTGTATATTGTGGATTCAGTCTGGTTAGGGTTTTTAGGGGATTCTTGGGTGTGTGAACAAGTGGGTTTCTGATTCTTTTGCCTTCTTTTGGTCTCTTTTCTTTCTGTTGGTTAGTCTTGTTCAACTTTGATGTGATGGCTTTTGTTTTATCTTATATTTTAGTTTGTTATGCTTTCTTGTTATCTCTTAGAAGTCTGTTCTTTTCTAATGAGATACAGAAAGGAAGTGAACCCAGACAGGAGGTGAAGTGAGGAGAAGCTTGGAGGAGTAGAGAGAAGGGAAATTGTATACTATGTGAGAAAACAATCCCTTTTCAATAAAAGGGAAATTATATATATTTGTGGCTTCTATGCGATTCTTATTTACAAAACAGAATCATGCTAAATAACATATTTGTTTTATTAACTATCTAGCTGGTTTTTGTGATTACAATACCTAAATTCCTCTCTTCTACTTTGAAATATACAGTAATCACTGGAGAAATTTGCTCCTCCCACACTGCCAAGCTGAAACATTGTACCTTTCAGCAAAGTTTCCTGTTTTCTTCTCACCTCTAGTTCAGGCATTCCATCTTTCCTTCTAGAAATGTGATTTGTTAAAACTATAGATAAGCAAGTTTACTTAATTTTTGTTTTACAGTGCCTGACTCATTTCACTTAGCACTCTGTCTACTAGCTTCATTAATATTGACAATAAACAATGCTATTTCCTCCCCTCAAAAGGCTGAATAGTATTTCACCGGGTATATGTAAAATAGCTTAAAATCCAGTTATCCATGGATGGGTACTGCAATGACTTCCATGTCCTGGATGTTTTGAATAATGATGTATAAGACATAGGAATATGGATGTCTCTTCTGCACAGAGTTGGATTCCTTTTATTAGGGCTAGAATTTGGTTTGCCACCCCACCCCACACACACACATAAGCTCACGTCACAGAAGCTTGATTCTTAGTGTACTAGGGTTGAGGTGGGGAAAATTGAAAAGCTGAGCCCAGTAGAAGGCCATGAAGTCACGGGGATATCGGGGTGCTCCCTTTGGAAGGAGGAAATGGTAGTCCCACCTCATGAACTGATTAAGTTCTCACAATGGGAAGCCTGCTGCCTGGCTTCCTGTCGCACCATGGATTTTCTGCCCATCCATGAACTTTCATCTTGAGGCCTTCTTCCTACAGCACCTTGGGAAGGCTGAAGAGCTGAGATTGCCTGTTTTTGAACGTTCATTATCTGAAGCTGGCAGCTGAACAAACCTGTTTTGCTTAAAATCGGTTCGAGATGCAGGCGCTCGGCATTTTGTTGAAGCAATGGAAAGCTGAGGCAGATAGATACTAAGAAGTGGGAATCCTGAATTGTACGGTAAGTCCCTTTTAAGTATTTTGAGAGGAAACTGTATTGTTTTCCACACTGATTGTGCTCACTTACAACACCACCCACAGTGTGCAGGTGTTCTTTCTTCTCTACGTCCTTGCCAACCTTTATTATCTCATCATTTTTATAATAACCAACCTAACATGTTGTGGGTGACAGCTCATCATGGCTTGGCATTTGTATATCTTCCTTTGAGAAGTGTTTATTCAGGTGCTTTGCCCACTTGTAAATAAATATGATTATTTGTTTTCCTGTTGTTGAGTAACTTGAGTTCCTCGTACATATTGAGTTCCTTGTCATAGCTATGAGTGAATATTAGTCTCTATAGGCTGTTTGGCACTGTTAACAAGTTTTGCTATGAAGAAAACTTAGCTTTATGAAAGCTTGTGTGCGTGTGTGTGTGTGTGTGCGTGTGTGTGTGTGTGTGTGTGTGTATAGCTTTCATTGCCCATGCTTTGACAATATTATTTAAATAACAACTTCCCAGACAAATGTGAAGGAACTTCGTCCTTGTTTTCTTTTAGTCACTTCATAGTCTCAGATCTCATGTTCAAGTCTTTGATCTACTCTGAGTCATTCTTCTGTATGTGGCCATAAAACTTCCATTGTCTTATAAACTGAGAAGCGACTAAGAAACTTTCACATGCAAGACACTAAGGAGACATGAAAACTGAATGTAATGTGTGCCCTGGAAAGAGTTCTGGTGTAGATCAAGGACATTGGTGTGGAAATGGACTTGCACATAAAATCTGGGGTTAGTAGTACTATATAGTGATGTTCCTTTGTTGGCTTTCACAATTATATAGAGATTTTACATTTTGTAAAATTTTTGTAAATCTAACATTTTTTTAAATTAGAATCTTATTAAAATTATCATATTCAATATCCATCACCCAGTTCCACCTGGGCCCACATTCACCTGATAAAGACATGGCTTGGCATTGTCCAGGTCCAAAACAGTGAACTGGGATCCTTTCTCAGGAGATCACAAAGAGGCCAGTTGTCATGGTCAAAAGTACAGATTCCAGAAAGGCATCAAAGCCATGGCTCCTTGCAACATTAAGCTATGTCTGCATGTGTTTCAAAGAAAATAAGTATTAAGACTTAGAAGAGGAGAAAGGTAAAGTACCTGTGGCATGTTTATAATTTGAAGCTGCATAAAACAGGGAAAATACAGAATACATAAAACTCATGAACAAACGTGAGAAGAATTCTCAGACAGAATACAGAGACTGACACGTTTGGGGAAGATTGTCTATGTCCTCCCCAGCAGACATACTATATGCATTCAACAATGGTGACTCCAAATTAAATGATTTGTAAATCTATGCTATCACCTGAAGTCACTCATAGAGAGGACATAGGGAGGTTACATTAGTCTCAATAGATGAATTATTTTAACAAAAACTCTTGGGTTATGATGGGAGAGCAGCATAAGACCTAGGTCTTGCCATGGACCAGGCTTTATTTGTACAAAGGTCTAGGAAAGAAAAGTATGTAGAGTCTTACTGCATAAACTCAGAGCTTTTCTTTCTCCATTTCCCAACTCTCTCCCTTTTTTTTTTTTTTTTTGATAGTATCTCTTGTAGCTCAAGTTGTTGTCAAACTCCCTATGTACCTTGAACTCCTTTATCTCTGGTGTTCTGGGATTACACTTACCACATCCAGTTTTGCATGGTGCTGGGAACTGAACCCAGGGCTTTTTGCATGCATTCTCCTATCTGAGCTAATTCCTAGCCACAACTTAAAGCTCTTGATTGTGAAAAAATACTTTAAAGTGTTTTCTGTAGTAATGCTTTTATTTCCTGGGCAAAAATAATGCTTTGTGTTCTAGTTAACATAGTTATTTATAATACATGTAATTCAGCACAATTGCTCTATCTATCTATCTATCTATCTATCTATCTATCTATCTATCGTATCTGTAGTCATTTAGTTCCAAATAAACACACACACAGGCTTACATTAGTTATAAACTGTTTGAATGATGGTTAAGGTTCATTATTGGCTAGCTCTCTTTTAATTATTAACCCATTTCTATTAAACTGTGTATTGTCATGAGGTTGTGGCTACCCATAATGCTCCAACATGCTATTCCTTTTGTGGCTACATGATGTCTCTCTGGAGACTCCTCTGTGTTCCTCTTTCCAGTCTTCTTCTAGTCTGGTAGTCCCTCCTATACTTCCTGCCTGACTACATCCTGCCTGTCCATTGACCAAAACAGCTTTACTCATCAACCAACAAGAGAAACATATTCATAGCATACAGAAGGACATCCCACACCATGTATGTATGTATGTATGTATGTATGTATGTATGTATGTATCTATCTATCTATCTATCTATCTATCTATCTATCTATCTATCTTACTAGAATTAATTTGGCCCACTATGTTTCAGAGAATCATGCAAAAGAACCTGTACCATTCCTATTCCAAAGGAAAAGCAAGGAGGAGAACTACTAGTACCACTTTCAGTAGCCATTGTATTCTCTCTCAGTACTGTACAACAAAATAACAGTACAACAGTTGTTTTGAAAGTGATTAATTGATTATACAAAGTAGACCTTACAAGATTTGACAGAAGTTTAGAAAGATCATTTGTGTAGTATCCTAGTTTGCTTTTTATTGCTGTGATAAGATGCCATAACCAAAAGCTACTTGGTGATGAAAGAGGTTATTTCTGTTTACAGCTTACAGTCCATCAAGAAGGGAATTAGGGCAGAAACTAAAGTCAGGAACCCAGAGGCAGGAACCAAAGCAGAGACCATGGAAGAGTTCTGCTTACTGGCTTGTTTTAATGACTTGCTCAGCCTGCTTCGACCATCTGTCTGGGGTGGTACCACCCACAAGGGACTGGACCCTCCCATATCAATCACTAATCAAGAAAATATTCCATAAACTTTTTTTACAGGTCAATCAGATGGATAAAATTTCCAAGCTGAGATTCCTTCTTCTCAGATATGTCTAGGTTTGTGTCAAGTTAACAAAAAGCTAAAAATCAAACATAGGACAGAAGTTGGACTGAGGATGACTATTGAAAGAAAAGAGGGCAGGTCAGGCCCAGAGCTTGGGCTTGGTTTTCCTAGGTGCATGTTCTGATGCCACATTTTGGGGCATATTTTAACTTGGAATCTCAACTTCTAGATAATGAGAAGACATATTTGTCAATATGGGAGAAATGAACATATTTTATTGACTAGTTTGCTTATTTGGTTTATGATTTAGGCATATGGTCTGTGGGTTTTCAGTTGTACTTTGATCATAGACCCTGAAATTGTTCAAGTCAGGCATGTGTTTCCACAAAATAAACTGGCTATCAGATATCTGTCCCCACCTGCAGCACTCTGGAATGGAATACCCTTATGATAGCAGCTATCACTGTCCTATGAGGTCTCGGTATATACCTGCCATCACTGCTTGAGGGCTGAATGGAGGGCTTGTCTTTGCTTCTGACTACCGAACATCCCTTTTACCTTTGGAGCACTGCTTTCAACACTCCTGCCTGTCTAGCCCTCTACCATCTGGGACTCTACTTCTTTTGTCATGGTCCTCTTAATGCTACACATCTTTTCTGCACAAGTGTCACTGAGTTATTCATAGTTGTGGTTTTCCACATGTGGCAGCCTCTTTCTGGTAATGTTTTTGAGTAAATTTCTGGTATAAAGCCATGAGTTTATAGCAGTTCCTGAGCTAGGTGGTTGAGTGACACTGACCTTTAGGGGTTTCCTTAGGTACGTAGCTTAGCACCAGAATTGGGGGAGACACATATTTATAAAAATAACATGGGAACTATATTTTCATTCTGAGATGGAGCCAGAAATCCACAGGGAACAATGCTCAGGTTGGATGAAATTCCCCCTCTTTCCTGCTTGTCCCAATAAAGTCTTTATTCATTCCAGAAAGTACTAAAGATATATTGTTTTTACTAATGTTTCCACAGCTTTGCTTCTGCAAATCCAATACATTTCTCTTCTTTTTCTTCCACAATAGTGTTATAGTGATATAATTGATAAACAAAGACTGAGCTTGAAGATGTACAAATGCTTGTATAAGAAAAATTAAGGCATTTATCAAACACCTGCCATTGAGACACATGAACAGGTGTCTCTTTGTGTGACCTCTTAACACGAGATCGTCTCTTAATAGACTTTGAAGTTCTCAATGTCATATCATTAATTATAGGTCATGTCTTGTACAGCACTCACCTAGAACTCTCTTCCCTATCATAATGAGATGTTATGTGCTATACTTGGGAGCATTTAATACATTTCTCTTCTGTGCTTACAAACCTTTGACAATAAAAGAGCATTTCTTTTTTTTGAAGTAAATGCAACACATCTTTACATAATACAGCATAAACAAATGTAGCACATCCTTATATCACTATTCAATTGCAGCCTAAACAAATACAAACACACCTAAAAGAGCATTTCTAAAGGGCAGTGTAGCAGTATCATCTCAGCTCTTTGAACCCTGGATCTCCAGCTAGTGGCACTATCTGGGGAGCTTTAGAAGATGGGTTCTTACTGGAGGAAATAAGTCACTAGAGGCAGGGTTTCAGTAATTATTGACATTTCATGGCTGCAGATCTAGATGTGAGCTCTCAGCTTCCTGTTGCTGCTGTCATACCTGCTGCATGCCACTATGCTGCCCAACCATGATGGCCCCTTGGCCCTCTGCGACTATTAACCCAAGTAACAGTTTCTTCTGTAAGCTGCCTTGCTCTTGGTGTTTTAGCACAGGATAGAAATAAAGACACTAAGATGTGTCTAGGTTTTACACACTGAGGATTATTATTCATTATAAATGCCCAGCCTTAGTGTATCTTGTTTCTAGCCAACTTTTCTTATCTTAAATTATCCTAACTACTTTTTCCCTCTGAGCTTTTATCTTTCCCTTCAGTAAATCTTACTTTCCTTCTTATTCTGTGGATGGCTGGGTGGCTTGCTCCTCCTCTTCCTCGTTTCTCCTTCTATTTATACTCTGCCTGACAGACCCACCGATCCTTGTGTCTACCTTGCTATTGGTCATTCAGCTCTTTATTAGGGCCACCAGGTATTTTAGACAGACTCAGTAATACAGCTTCACAGAGTTGACAAATGCAGCATAAACAAAAGTAACACACCTTAAAATAATATTCTACCATAGGACACACAAAGTTTTTCAGGCAATGTAACCCAGGTCCCCTGCAAAAGCAATATGAGTTCTTAACTACTGAGCCATCTCTGTGGTGATATTTTGTTTTTGCCTGAAGATCAGAGAAGCAGAGCAGCCAAACACTAGTTCTTACCTCTACTGATTCCTCAGACCAAAGGGGCGATCCTGTCCCTATGAATCCTCAGTGAATTCTCAGACTGAATGCAATGAGCTCCTGTCTCCTCCCACCTTATATTCTTCTCTCTGACCAGCATTATCACTCCTGTCTCTACCTCCCCAGTGCTGGGATTAAAGGTATGTGACTTCCAAATACTGGGATTAAAGGTGTGAGCAACCACCACCTGGGTATGTTTCTCTTTAGACTAGATCAATCTCCTGTAGCCCAGGATGGCTTTGAACTAGCAGAGATCTGCCTGCCTCTGGCCCCCTACCTGAGTGCTGGGATTAAAGGTGTATGCCACAACTGCCTGGCCTCTAACTAACTAGTGGCTATCCCCACATTCTTCTGATCTTCAGGCAAGCTTCGTTTGTTAAAGCACAAACAAAACATCTCCACATGTCTCACCGGCCCTGTATCCAGATCAGAAATTCACTCTTTATAAATCTTTCATCTCATATTTTTCACTTGATATACTTAACTTTCAATTATATTCTATGTCTCTATTTTCCTTGGTTTGATTCATCCAAGAATATATATGAAACATCTAGTATATTAGGCTGTGCTGTAGGTGTTAAAGATTAGCAGTGAATGGACAGATAGAAAGTACTATTGTCATAATGTTTCCATTTTAGGGAACCCACATAATAAAAGGAGATAAATGAAACACACATTCTGTCAAAAGGTCCTCAGGGTTATTAAGAAAGACGAAACAGAAAACAGGGTGAGTGGAGACGCAGTGCAGGTTTACATTTCACAAAGGAAGGTTAGGGAAGGCCTAACAGCCAGGATGCTGTGAGAACACATACTGAGGAATATGAAGGTGCAATGCATTTGGATCTGAGAGGAAAGTATGGGAAATAGTAGGTGCACAGGCCACAGGAAGCAGGCCTGGTGTGTGTGAGAATGCACGGGGAAGCTGAAGCTGAGAGGAGGCAAGCAGGAGATGAGGCTGGAGTGCTAAGGGGACTGTACGCAAGGTCCTGGAGAATGCAAGTGTCATTTCTGGCTCTGCTCTACCAGATGCCAGAAGTTTCCAGAAGCTCTGAACATCAAAACGTGCCCTGAGGTGGGGAAACCCGGCAGTAGAAACTCACTGTGTAAGGGAAGAATTGGAAACTGAAAGGTAGACTTTCCAGCCTGCACCCTTGTGTCTGGACATCTACTTTAAGCAACCCTCCACTGCTGTATAGGCGCAGCCCTCACCTCCACTGCTGTATAGGCGCAGCCCTCACCTCCACTGCTGTATAGGCGCAGCCCTCACCTCCACTCCTGTATAGGCACAGCCCTCACCTCCACTCCTGTATAGGCGCAGCCCTCACCTTCACTCCTGTATAGGCGCAGCCCTCACCTCCACTGCTGTATAGGCGCAGCCCTCACCTCCACTGCTGTATAGGCGCAGCCCTCACCTCCACTGCTGTATAGGCGCAGCCCTCACCTCCCTTCTGCTTCAGGAGAATCAATCACTAGGCTTGCAGTTACATTCGGTTTCCTTTTTCTTTTCCTCTCTCGGAATGTCTCATTTCTTTTCCCTCTCACTTCTTAGATTACCTGTGAACCACAGAAAGGCTTTACAGAAAACTGTCATAAGAAAGAATGCATTCCTATGTGTTTTTCAGGAAAGAACTGGAAGTCTTAACTGGGAAGATCACCATGAAGAAATGCTGACATTACCTTTAAATTAAGTCCTTTAAAGGATACACAACCGAGAATGTGTATCATCATCCTTTGATTCAAACCCTTCCTGAAGTTTAGGTTGATTAAAAACCAATCTGAATTAATCTAATTTGACCAGAGTAAATTAGTGATCCGATAAGAAATTAACTTCCCATCCTTGGGGTCTAGCGCGGGAACCATCGAAGGCATCATTTTGTACTAATAAGCTCAAAGTTCCAATAAGTGTCCTTGCAACAAACTCTCTAAACATGACTTCTGAGCTGGTGATAGCATTGCATTGACTGTTTGTGCCTGGATTGCAGCACAGGATAAATGCAGGAGGAAGGCACGTGATCTCTGTGTAACCGAGGGGATTCCAACATGGCTTTAGAATAGTTTTGTTTCTAGGTCACAAGACAGCCAATGAGATTCACAGTGCTTGTAGGAACAGCTCAAGGCAACGCCCATCAGCATAAGTGTGTCTTGGCTGGTGTTGTGAGGAACAGTCATACTCTGTCTATAAGAAGGGTACGGAAAATAAGAAACAGGAAAGCGCAAATAAAGTGCACATGTGGGCAGAAGCATCTATACTTCCATCATCTTGAGAACTAAATAATCACCGGTGGGTACAGAATGAAAACAGGAGCCAAGTTGGGTCAGTCAATAGCTGTCTACCCAGAATAAATTGCTAATCAGAAGCCGAGCTAGCACAGGCTGATAAATAACAAGGTTACTTGACCTGAAGAAAGGAGCTGCTTTCCCTCATGTTGGTAATTATATCAATTCAGAGGAAGACAAGTTGGCTTTCACCGGGTTAGAGCCAGATGACGCTGTAAATCAATTCTGTCTTCTCAGGTCCCTTCCTATGGTTCCAGGGCTGGAGTACATCCAGCAGTTGATTCCAGTTTGTGTTCCTGTGTTGCCTGGTGATTTCCACTTTATCAAATGTGTATTTGTCCAGAAGGCTTGGGCTCTGTGTGCAGACATGCTCTGGGCTTCATCTTGCATACTAACCTGAGGGTGCCAAGTGTGTGTGTGTGTGTGTGTGTGTGTGTGTGTGTGTGTGTGTGTGTGTGTGTGTGTGTGTGAGAGAGAGAGACAGAGAGAGAGAGAGAGAGAGAGAGAGAGAGAGAGAGAGAGAGAGAGAGAGAGAGAGAGAGAGAGAGAGAGAGAGAGAGGGAGGGAGGGATATTCTGAGTTGTTAACAAGCTCCCAGGAATGTAAAGGACTGGAATCTATTTGATGTGGGGATGGAAGAACCTTGTGGACTCAGGGATGATGGTCAACAGTAGGTATCTAATCCCCACCTTTCCATATAGAAAGAGACCCAAGCAACAAGGGAACAACTGCATTTTGACCACAATGACTGAAGGAGAGCAAAACTGGGTGGGACCCAGAAAGCCAGGCTGGGCATAGAAAGAAAGACAACACAACTTGCTTTGGCTACCTCACTTCCAAGTGGGATCAGCTCAAACCAAGAGAGACTCAAAATGGAAAAAGCCAAGCAAGAAACACCCACCAGTGGCACAGATACTTGCAGTCACCGCTACTTATCAACTCATTGCTCTCCATGACTTTGAGCCAAGCTTAGGAAGCTGCTTGGAGTTCCCAAGGTAACTCCAGAAGGGGATCCTCCATTGTGTCCCAATCCCTGTGAGACTTCTGTTTTATTGTTTTGCTTTAAACAGGAGTCACAGTAGACCATATCTTGCCATAGAGGTCACTGGCTACTCTATCTTTTCATTACTGAGGCTTTGCTGTCCTGTTAACACACATGGTAATACATCATTTCCCACCTAAGTGACATCACTGGAACAGACACCCTAGGAAGCATACCATTTCTATCCCAGTTGCTTTCATTACTAAGCTTACTAGATATGACCCACAGTGGAGACGCCATCTGTAGGAACCAGAACTAATTTGTGGCCTTTCTCCTAGGGAGTAGAGCTTCAGATTGGGAAGCAATTCCAATGCTTATATCCTAACACACATAGCAAACTATCCCCTGGAGTTCAGGTACACTGGCTTGTGCCTGTGTAGGCAGAACGGCTATGACATCCTGTGAGTGAGCACACACCTGGTAGCCCATACTAAACAGAACTGAAGCCCTGGGTAAGAGAGAACAAACCTGGCCACAGGATGTCTTTCCTTCTGTATGCTGGGTCAGCCCTTGTGGTACTGGGAAACACCATACTTACATTCATGAATCTAACTGTCATAGTACCTAGTCTTCCAGAGTTTGGAACATTACTGTGTTTTACCATTTCAGATCAAAGGAAACTTTACTCCCTCTCCTGACACCTGAACTGTCACTCTACAGATTCTGAGGCCCAGATCATACCTGTATTGCTGTTTCCTGGATCTTAGACCTCTGAAGTATGCCAGTTTTGCTCAATCCATGTTATTGGTGTGTCTTAATCCCTAGAATTAAAGTCCATAGAATGGGCTATGGTACCCTTGACTCTAGATGGGTTCACTGGAGAATTCCTCAGAGTCATAGTGCCTGCTTAGTGAGATAGCTGGGTCTCAGATGAACCTGCACTTCCCTTAGAGATGTTACAGCAGTTCAACAAATCACCTAGCCCAGGGACCCTAGCTCCACAGCCACTCTGACTACCTGTCCCTTGGAATACAGTGCTACTATGACTGTGTATGAACCATGTCAGACCTAATACCAAGAATTATCCTCCAAGACCCCAGTTAAAACTTTCCATTGTTGGGTAGGAGGGAATACAGGGACTCCAAAAGCCCTTGCCATTAAAAGCCCTCCCCTGCCACAAATACAGCCAGGAACCTCTGCAGGCTAAGCCACCAAGGTTTCTGTATACATCATTGATATTGATCATTAGTGAAGAAGTTTCATGGAGACTATACTGCTGAGCCCATTCAGAACCAGAACAATGTCCCCTGTTAATAATACCTAACATCCCATCAATAGGTGGAAGTGTTTTATTTAAAATATACTATAAGTTTAGGTAAGTCAACTATTGTAGATTTGCAGGCATCAGTGAAGGATCACAAAGTACATGGGGTGAAAAATGAAAAATGAGTATATTAATTCCCTTGTTACTACCCCCCTCATGGAAATTTATGAATTACCTTAAACTAATTTTAAGTAATAATCATAAGGAAAGTCAATGAGATACAAAAAACAGATAGACAATGTGATGTAACCAAGAAAATAATTCATGACAGGAATGAGACATTCAAGAGAGATGTACATAAAATAACCAAGCCAAAATCTTATAATTTAAGAACATAATAATTGAGGGTTGGCAACATGGTTTAGTGGGTAAGAGCACATACTGCTAAACTCAAAATTATGGAAATTATCTTCAGTGACTATAAATTATTGAGGAATGCACAGTATAAAAAGTTGTAAAGAATGACAATTTATAAATGAAGGAGACAGCAAAGCTTCGGATACTTACAAAAGGCTAAAGTTAAGATGGTAGCTGAAATTAGCCATTATAATTATGTTTTAGGTAAGCCCATGGCAACTGAGAAGCAAGGACAAGTAAGAGAGAAAAATCAAAACTGGGCACTATAAAAACTTCACCAAATGTAAACGATAACAAAAGAAGAAAGGAACAAATGATTCACCCCAGATGGCAAGTAGCAGAATACAAGGAGTAAATCTGACCCTACCAACATTAACGTGCAATGTCCATCAAGTAATCTCTCTCCTCAGGCCTGAGGGGTAGTTTAGCTATGGGGTGCCTTCCTGAATGTAAAAGAACTTGCCTTAGGCCCCAGGAGTGCAAAAAGAAGTAAATAAGCTTCCTCCAACCCCCAACCCAAAGCCATGAAATGGCTGAGCAGATTAAAAAACAATCCTGCTTTGTGTGAGAGAATCAGTTGAGCTCTCAGGATGCATTTGGGTGGAAAGTGAGTGGGTTAGAGGGGTTTAAGCACACAGCAGAACGGAGCAGGGATGTCCAGACTTACATTTGATAAAGCAGACTTTGAGTGGAAACCGGGTAGAGGAGATAAAGGAGGTCATTGTTCAGCGATAAAATGATGGAAAAGACAAAATTGTCAGTGTGTATGTACCCAGTACCAGACACCCAAAATGTAAAGCATATATTAATGGGCATGAGGACAATAGATAGCAGTACAGTAAAGAAGAAATAATTATTTTCAACTTAATAATGGACAGTCAGAGATACTGAACTTAGCCTGTACCTAGACCACTTACCAGGCGTTTGCAGGACTTTCCTTTGTGAGAGCAGCAGAATGTACATTCCCCTTTTGCACACATCAGACCTTCTCTATGATAGACCATATGTATGTCTGACAGCGAGGTGAGTTTTCTAACCATGGCTGGGGTGCTGTTACAGGTGGGGACATAGCTCAGATAAAGCCCCTTGACAAGGATGGGTAAGGTTCAGTCGTCAGCATCGGAAGAAAAGGTTCTCATCACAACCACATAGTATGAAGCAAGGACTCAACAGCAGAAAAGAATCATGGAAAACTCACAAAATTTTAAAATTATAAGTATGTTCCCCTCAACAATATAAACATTGCATGGTTATTATAGCATATTTAGTCATTTCATAATCAAGTCATAAAAATAGTCACAAAACACTGAAATGTGGGACAGTTCTAATTTAAGCACTACAATGCAGAACAATAATGGTTCACAAGATAGTGGTGAATCAGAAAACATGGAGCAGAGTGAAGCTTTATCAAACATTGATAAATAAGTACTTTATTTCATTAGTATCTAAAATTGAATAAAGGCTGTTCTGTGCATATCACAAAAATTGTACATAGAAGTATGCATGCTCATAATAATAAATGTATGGTTCTATGGCTTCTCTATTCATCATATCTTTAAAGCAACAAAATAATTTTATTCGCTTTAAATAAACAACTTCTCACCTTAAAAAAATAAAGTATGTTCCTAAAGTACCAAGGCTCTGAAGAAAAGCAGCAACAACAAAAAGTTATTCTGAGACAAATGGAAATAGAAATGGAAGATATCAAAACTTATAAAATGTAGCAAAAACAATTCTGAAGAGATTTTATAGTAATACACACTTATACTTTAAATAAAAGGGCCCAAATACATAGTATATAATTTAATCTGAAAGGCATAGGAAAGAAAACCCATTAAGTCAAATGTTTGCAGAAAGAATGAAATAATAAATTTCAGAACAAGCATTATGTTAAAAAATTATTAAAAAGTGAAGTCAAGAATTTTCTTTTTCCCTCCAGAGACTGAGACTAGTAAACTCCAAGCTAGGCAAACTAAGAAATAAAGAGAAGACTCAGATAGAAAAACCAGAAAGGAAAGACATCACAACAGATGCTTCCAAACTAAAAGAAGTCATAAGGAATATTACAAATAATTATATGCCAACAAATTGGATAAGTTAGAGGAAATGGATGGAGTCCCAGAAACCATAACCTACCCAGATTGAATCAGGAAGAAACAGAAAGCTTGAGCAAAGTAATAACAATAAAGAGTTTGAAGAAGTAATTAAATATCTTCCAACAAAGAAAAGCCCAGGACCAGCTGGCATCATGGCTAACATCTACCAGCTATTGCAAACAATCACCAATACTTAGAAAAAAATTAGATAAAGTAAAGCTAAAGGGAACGCTTCCAAATATATCACACAGGGCTAGTATTACTACAGATACTCAAGCCAGACAATGACATCACAAGAAAAGAAAACTACAGATCAATATCTCTAACAAGCATTGATGTCAAAATCCTCAACAAAATACTATCAAGCTGAGTTCAACAACACATCAAAAACAGCGTATACCACGAGCACTGAGAATTATCTGTGGCGTGATAGGCTGTTTTTAACTCACACAATTCAATCAACACAATGCATCATATTAGAGGGATAAAAACCAAAAGCCAGATAATCATCTCAGATGACACAGGAAAAATATTGACCAAGTT